TCATTCGGCGACGCGCTTGTCTCGGAATGATGCTCCGGCTTGTGCGTGGGCCACATCTCTGATGGAAAATGCTGCTGTCGCCTAGGCGCCGGCGACATCCGGCGACATCTTTCATTGAGCGTGCTGCTCTCTTTCGTGCGCGGGCCGCATCTCTGATTGAAGATGCTGCTGTCGCTGGGACGCCAGCGACGTCCCTCAAGCGATGCTCGTCGCAGGAGTGGAAGGGCACGGTCTGCCGAATGGTTCGCAGGCTGCAGCCCAAGGAGGGAAGGTTCCAGACCACATGGACATGGAGACCCAGCGCGCGGGACCCCTGACTCACACACCCGTTTCGGGACCTGGTACAGAGTGCAGAGGCGGCGGGGGATGGTGGGACTGCGTGCAGGGCGCCATCGTACGCGGTGCGCATTTCCCGATGGGTCTCCGAATCTGTTCTCACGACGGCTGCAGCAGTGGTTCCCCAAGCAACGAGTGCGGTTACAGACGGTGCATTCGGGAAGCCTGTGCAAGAGTCTGCAGTCGGCTTTCCGTGCGGGGCAGGCTCCCCAAGACGTGCGCGATGGCGTGGCTGCTTGGCAACAGGATGCAGCGCGCCAAGGACGGGTCGATGGTGACGCCCAGCCTCAGGCCTCCAGGCAGGCGGGCGCCACCGACCCGACGGGGCCCAGGCACGCCGACGGCACCTGCCAGTCGGTCTTGCGCGACTGCTCCTGGCACCCAGTGGCCAAAGGTGACAGTTGCACGCGGGCAGCCCCGCTCCCTCCGCAGGGCCGCGGGTCTCGCGGGGCGCGCGTGTGGCGGCAGAGCCGGGGCTCGCCACCTGGCTTCGCTTCTGCCTGCCACCGCGTCGCGGTGTTCCGCTTCTTTAGCGCCCTCGCAGTTACCGCCCTTGACGCGAAGAGGTCACAGAGAGAGGGCTCGACCTGAAAGCAGCACAGGCACAAGCGAGTACACAGCTTGGGCGGGTCGGGACCGGGGAGTCGTGCACGTGGTGGACGGGGCGGAGGATGGGGAAACGCGAGAAGCAGGATGAGCAGAAATGAGGAAAGCCAGCAGGGTGAAGGATCGAGGAGGAGGAGGAGGAAGAGGAGGAGGAGGAGGAGGAGGAGTATGGAGGCGGGAGGACAAAGGGAGGAGTTCAGCGTGGACATGCCCGAGTGCTTCCTGGTCAGAGACGTCATCGAGCTTCTGGGGGCCCACCCGGCGTCCGACCTCGAGCAGCAATACACGATCGTGAGCATCGTTGGCACCACCATCACCATCGCCCCGGCGCTCACTCACGACTTCACCGCAGGGACATCGGTGCTCGTCGGGAAAAGTTCCCCAGACCCCCTGGCGTGGTGCAGAGCTCACGGCGGGAGGTTCGTCGCTCTTCTCCGTCTCGGGCGGCCCTCGCCCAGCCTCTCGGGACCGTCAGAAGACGACTCAGAAGCCGGTCCCGGGGAACGGGTCCGGACCTCTGGGGGGTCGCGTCAAGAAGAAATGAGGACGTCGGGAGGTTGGGGTTGCTCTATGTCTCGTTCGCCTATAGGGCTACCAAAGAATGTTCCAAGAGAATCTTTTCATGGTTTGCACGAAGTGTTCTTGGAACATTTTCTGGCTGGAACAGTTTTGTTTTAACACATCGGGTAAATGTTCTAAGAGCAGTGTCTTTGTTCTCAGAACGCTTCTGGGTTCTAAGAACGTTTCGTGGTAGGCCTATAGGAATGCCAGGACGGTCGGTCCCTGCTTAATTCTGGGGGTCGCGTCATGAAAAAAATCAGGACGTCGGGGGTCTGGGGTTGTTCCATGTTTTCGGCGACTTTTCAAGGTCCCGGGTGCTCCTAGGGGGGTCTCGCTCTCCTCTCTCCAACTCCAGCTCCCCCTCCCTCCTTCTCCTGCTCCTCCTCCCGTTCCCTTCATTCCTCCGCTCCCGACGGGCCTCGGCTACGCTGCGATTCCAGCCTGGTCGAACACCCAGGCGGACCAGCAACATTTCGCCCTGCAGCCTTGCGTCCATACCCATCGCAGCGGTTCTGTCAGTATTCCGTTGCATTGATTCAGGGATTCGCATCCTTTGCGCCTTGACCTCGGCCTGCCTGTGTTTTGCTCCGTCGGTAGGCTGCAGGCGACGCAAATCAAGTGAAGACAGTAGGATTTCAGAAACACCCGCCCCTCTCTCCGACCATCAGGTCTGACATCTGGAGCTTAGCTTGTTAGGTGTTTCAGTCCGGACTTCTGATGCGCGAGCCGCCTACTACGAAGGCCTGATGCGTCCAACGCGTCAGTTTCTTCCTGCGCCATGGGGTGGCCATTGGCAATCTGCACCAGGTCGTTCCTGTGCCCGTTCTCTCCGCACATTCGCGATCAACCGAAGTCTCGTGGACATGTTGTGCGACATGAAGGGCCTCCCTGTCCACCCCCTCCGCCTCCCCCTCCTTATCTTCCTCCTCCTCCTCCAGCTCCTCCTCTTCCTCCTCCTCCTCCTCCTCCTCCCCCTCCTCCTCCTTCTCCTCCTCCTCCTACAGCTCCTCCTCCTCCTCCTCCTCCTCCAGCTCCTCCTTCTCCTCCTCCTCCTCTTCCTCCTCCTCCTTCTCCTCCTCCTCCTTCTCCTCCTTCATCCCTCTCCTAATAGATAACTCCTCTCTGTTGCACCCCGAGGCCAGTTTTTAGGGCGGGCAGGGCGTTTCGCCTGAGACTGTCCCACCATTCATGATTCTGACGCCTCAAAAATGAAAACAGCTTCACAGATGGAGGGCGAGTGGTTTTCAAAATGTGGCTCTCGCCTTAGCGCCGCGCACATTCGTTTTCAAAGTTTCAAGAGATTCACGGATTGAGGGCGGGTGGTTTTCAAAATGTGGCTCTCGCCTTTAGCGCCGCGCACAGTCGTTTTCAAAAATTGCAAGAGCTTCACGGATTGAGGGCGGGTGATTCTTATAATGTGGCTCTCGCATTAGCGCCGCGCGCATTCGTTTTCAACATTTGCAAGAGCTTCACGGATTGAGGGCGGGTGGTTTTCAAAGCGTGGCTCTCTCCTTAGCGCCGCGCACAGTCGTTTTCAAAAATTGCAAGAGATTCACGGATTGAGGCCGGGTGGTTTTCAAAAGGTGGTTCTCGCCTCAGCGCCGCGCACATTCGTTTTCAAAAGTTGCAAGAGTTCCACGGAGTCCCATGGTCTACGTACCAGAAATGGTATTTTAAAGGGATTCAGGATCATGCGGGTGCAACAGTTATGTTGACTCGCGGTTCTGACGTCCCCAAAAATGGCGTTTTGGCATGATTCTGGAATGCCATGACGCAGCTGTCAGGTTGATACGTGGCGTTGAAATACAGAGAACCAGGTTTTGGCATGCTTCAGGACCTTCAAACGGTTGTTTTCCAACGAGGCAGTTCTCTCAATGAAAATGAGCCGTTGTGGGGGCCTATGAAGAAGGTGCGTGCAGGGAGGCTTAATTCCAACATCGTTGACGACTCTTGGTTTTACACTGGTCCTCCTCATCCCCCTCCTTCTCTCGGGCCGGCAGTCGCGACCCGGGCCTCCCCAGGTGCTCAGGATCAAGCACCCTTTCCCTTCGAACACCTGCGGGGAGTGGGCGGTGGGCTGAGCCCCCGGCGGCTGCTGCGGCAGCTGCGGCGGGGAGGGGAGGGTTTGCACGGGGAGTGCCCAAGCTGCGCCCGCTCCACCCCTGGAGCGACGGAAAGCAGGAGGAGGAGGAGCAGGAGGAGGAGGAGGAGGAGGAGGAGGATAGGATAGGAGGAGGAGGAGGAGGAGGAGGAGGAGGAGGAGGAGGAGGAGGAGCAGGAGGAGGAGGAGGATGAGGAGGAGCTGGAGGAGGAGGAGGCATAATAATAATAATAGTATGATGTAGGAGAAGGAGGAGGAGAAGGAGGAGGAGGAGGAGAGAGCAAGAGGAGAGGGATAACGCTGCCCAGGAGGAGGAGAAGCAGAAGAGGGACGAGGAGAGGTTAATGTGGACTAGCAGCAGGAAGGCAGGAGCAAACGGGATGATGGCGCCTATATCGCTGCTGGGCCGTCGGACCTTACGGGGTGGGTGGGTGGGGTGGCCCGTCGCTGCGACCAGATCCGCCTCGAAGTCCTGGTCGGAACGCGCTTCAGGACAGGCAGTGGGTCGTTTTCGACGGGGGGGGGGCAGGAGGAGGAGGAGGAGGAGGAGGAGGAGGAGGAGGAGGAGGAGGAGGAGGAGGAGGAGGAGAGGGCGCGCGTAGGTAGTTAGGTAGTTTTCTTGGCGCTCGCCTTCACGGGCCAGCGCGACGTTTGATGGCATAGCTTGTCGGAGCTCGGCTGTGCCCTGCCTGAGGGGGCCGAGTCGCCCAGCCGCCCGACGACTGCATCTGTCTAGAGTCGCCCAGTGGCCCGGCGGCTGCATCCATACAGCCGGGCGCAGGCAGAGAAGCGGGCGCACGAGAGTTCCGAGCTGCGTCCCCCCCCCCAAGCAGTGTTTGCACTTAGGGTTAAGTCGGGCCTGCCCCTCTAGAGGAGGAATATGCAAAAATGATAAAAATAGTCGGGGAACTATTTTTCTATCACTTTTGAGCAATTGGTGGGTATTGTTGGGGTATTTCTCATTTTCGCCCAAGACCTCCCTGTGGGGGGACACGCCCGACCTAAACTTAGTGGTTCTCGGTTGAAACCACCCGGACCCGATCACTTTCGTTTGCTCAGCGGCCCTGGGCGTTTACGAAACAGCCCCTGCCCTCTTCGATACCTCTTTTTGGCTGCGTCTACTAAACGGCTTCGTGTGCCGGGGTGATAATTATTATGGTGGATTCCGAGACCCCCGACGTCATGTTTTTCTCATGACGCAACCCCCAGAGGTCGGGACCCCTTCCCCCGTGACCGGCTTTTCATCCTGAGTCTTTTTTTGGCGGCCCCGAGACTTTGTGAGGGCAGCATGCGGCCGAAAAGAGCGAAACATCTCCCGTCTTGATTTTTGTCATGGCTCGAGTGGGTCCGGGTTTTCTGCTTTCTACATTCGCCACGCTCTCGCCCGCTGCTGCCCGTGGGCGCCCGCGGGGGGGTTGTATACCGAGGATCCGCTGTGTATTCTGGGGTTAAGTCGGACCTGTCCCTCTACAGGAGGAAAATTCAAAAAAGTAACAAAATCGTCAGAGGACGATTGTTCGACTATTTCGGGGTATTTTTGTGCATTCTCCGACTATTTTTCATTTTCCGTCCAAGATCGGCATCAGGGGGACACAGGCCCGACTTGATTCTGGGGCAGTGGCCGCTGCCGCCCGACGGTGTATATGCCGAGGATGCGCCACGGTGCCGGCGTGATAGCCCGGTCGGGAGTGGGTCCTAACATCGGCGGCGAGCCAGGAGGGGAGGAGGAAGAGGAGGAGGAGGAGGAGGAGGAGGAAAAGGAGGAGGAGGAGGCGGAAGATTCGAGGAGGAGTTCGAGGAGGAAGAGGAGCAGGAGCAGGAGGAGGTGCAGGAGAAGGAGGAGGAGGAGGAGGAGGAGGAGGAGGAGGAGGAGGAGGAGGAGGCGCGCGTAGGTAGGTAGGGAGGGGGGGAAATGAGAAGGAGAAGGCCATTTCAGAAGGTTCGGAAGTCCCCCGGCCTTCTGAGAAGTGTTCAACGTAAGCCTTCCCCGGAGACGCATAAGACTTCTCAGAAGGCTGGAGGGCTTCTGAGAAGTCCCGCGGCCTTCTGAGAAGGCCTCTTTCTTCTCGCTTCCCCCCCTCGCTCGCCGCCGAAAACCAGACACAACGAATCGTCGATTCCCAGGAACATATGGGGAAATAGGGGAAGTGGCGGGCAAGAAGAAAATCCAGAGGATTGGAAAGAATCGGACTCTTGGGAATTGTGTTTCTTTTTTTGTATGTCCCTGGGCCCCTTCCACAGTGTTTGCCCTCAGGGTTTCTTACTTGCGTTGCCAAGCAGCTGGATGGAGATACCGAGGATTCGCCACGCTGCCGCCCTATGCCGCCCGTATGCTGAGGTGTTCCACGTGGCCTCGTCGTTGCCGCCTGTGGGTGGTATGCCGAGGATTCGCCAAGCTGCTGCCCGTTGCCATCCTTTGCTGCCTGCGTGGGTACTTTTATGATGTTCCAAGCTATTTCAGCCTTGATCACCAGAAGGAATTTCGAGCACTAGGAAGATACCGAGCACCAGAAAGATACCGAAACTTGATGGTTTTCACGTGTCGTGCCCTGGGAGGCGATACTCCTTCGACACTGTTTCGATACTTTCCTGGGTGCTCGAAATTCTTTCTGGGATGTGGCCCTTAAGCACGATGAGAACGGCATAAGGGCACTTCTGCCAAGGACTCGCCACGTTGCCGCGTCGCTGCCGCCTGTGGGGGCATGCCGAGGACTCGCCAAGCTGCTGCTCGCTGCCACCCCTTGCTGCCTGCGTGGGCACTTCTGCCGAGGATCCGCCGCGTTGCCGCCCGGTTGCCGCGCAGTTGCCGCCTCGCGCGCTCCGTGCGTGCTGCCGAGGACTCGCCGCGTTGCCGCCCCGTGCTTTTGTGTGCCTATTGCCGAGGAGTCGCCACGCTGCCGCCTGGCTGCCGCCTGGCTGCCGCGTCGCTCCCGCCTCGTGCGCCGAGCGGGCACGCCGAGGACTCTCCGAGTGGCCGCCCGTGGCCGCCCCGTTGCCGCCTGCCGAGGTTCGCCACGTCGGCGCGTCGTTGTTTCGGCCCCTCCTCCTCCTCCTCCTCCTCCTCCCCCTCCTCCTCCTCCTCCTCCTCCTCCTCCTCCTCCTCCTCCTCCTCCTCCTCTGCCTCGCCGCCGCGCCGATGCGCAGTTGCCACACGCGTGTCTCGAGCAGTGGCGAAGCGTCCCGGCGTTCCTATAGGCCTACCAGCGAATGTTCTGAGAACCTGTTGTGCTTCCCACGACATGTGATTGGAACATCTCTGGCTGGGACTGTCCTGTCTTGACAGATTGGCTTTGTGGTTTAAGAACAATGTGTTTGTTCGTAGAACACTGTTGGGTTCTAAGAACAGGTCGTGGTAGGCCTATAGGAATGCCGGGACGGTCGGTCCCTGCTCAAATGTTTATCCTTCACGCACATAAATCAGCTTGCGTGTACATATTTCCGGATGCACCTGCATGGTAACCGTTTGTCCCAGCCGCGTGGCTTGTGGCCAATCGACGGCGCGATCAATCACTGTTCAGGGCCCACGCTGGCAAACATGTTGTGGCAATTGCTGAAAGCTGTCTGGGCAGATTCCCCGAAGGCCCGACGGCTCAACATTCTTTCGCCCTCCCCTGTCCCCCTTTTTCATTCGTTTCTCATGATGGAGCGTCCCAGGAAAGGCCTCGTCTTCACGGAATCCAGAAGCTGAAGAAGCTGAAATCTTCTCCTCGGCGGAAGCGCGGCGAACGTCGGCCGAAGTTAGAGGGAAGCGGCTCTGCAGGCGGAAGGCGACGGAAGGCTGGCGGAAGCAAAAAGTCGCTCGCCCAACAGATGTTTTTTTAGGGGTTGATTGTTTCCAGAATTGGCCATTTGTTTTGTCTCCTTCTGCTCCTCACTCCCACATCACCCCTGCCTACTGATGCCTGTGATCTTCCATCCTATTCCACGTCCCTCTGTTTTCCATCCCTCCCGCATAGATGATTATCCTCCGTCTCCCCCTGGCCCCCTGTTCGACCCTTTTCCCCCTCATCCCTCCAAATTTTCTTCCTGCTAAGCATTATCCTTCCTCCTCATGTTATTCCTTCTGCAGGCGGCCCATATCGGGAAGAACCCCGAGTATTTGTTTTGCAAGGGATGGGGCATGTTGGGGCAGCGCACAGTCAGTCAGGCCCGATTTCCTCCTGCGTGCGATTTCGCTTCTGCGCCAGTGTGAATTGGCTGGTCTATTCGCTCTTGTGCTAAACGGCATATGGCTGGCAGTGCACTCCTATCGAGGCGACGTCCCCAAGCGCGGGTCAGCTTTGCAGGCGCCGTGCATGTTCAAGGCCGTCGGAATTTCGCCCAAGGGCCATGCAGGCGACGACGCTGGAGTGTTCGGGCTGCCTCTTAGCGTAAAGAAGCTCCCCTCGCTCTCTCGTGCCCCCATTCCTTTCCCCACCCTCCCCTGTCACGTCTGCCCCCTTGCTTTTAAGTCGGGCCTGTCCCCCTCTACAGGAGGAATAGATTCCCAAATCGTCAGAAAATCGTCTGGGGACGATTTTTTTTACTGTCTTTGACCATTTTGGGGGTAGATTGTGGAGTATTTTTATTTTTTCGTCCAAAATCCCCCTGTAAGGGGGGGATACGCCTGAGCTAACCCCTGCCTTTCGACCCTTGACCCCTCCCCCGGAGCTGGCGTTTCGCCCCGAGCCGTCCTGCGGCAGGCCCCTGGGGGGGAAAGAGAAAGAGGCGGCCGCCGCCGGAGGCCGAACGCTACAAGACAACAGCGAAGCATGCGGCCGTGCTCCCTCGACCTCCTTGCTTCCGCACCTGCCGGACGACGGATGCCGCGCAGCGGCGGCCGCCGGCGCGGCCGCGGCCGAGGCCGCCGTCGAGGCCGCCGTCGAGGCCGCAGCGGCTGTCTCGGCGGTCTCCGCGGCCGCGCCGCGGCGGCAGCTGGTGCGCGGAAGGTTCGGAGGGTGGAGGTCAGGGGTGCACCGAGGAAGAAAAAGAAAACATAAACATAAACTTTTGGCGCTCCGCGCGGGTTTCTTGGGTCCGCGTCTGGGCCCCCCTGGCGGCGCCTCCAGCGCCGCCCCTGGCGCGCTCCGCGCGCGGCGGAGGGGAGTCCAGCCCGAATCCAAGAAATCCGCGCGGAGCGCCAACAGTTTATGTTTGTATGGTTGTGGCTCTGTGATCTGAGAGGCCAGCGTCCTGATAGTCACCGAGCAGCCTACGAAGGTAGCGGCAGTGAATGAATAGTACGCATGTCGAGGTTGGAAGAATGTTTTGGGGAAGCTAGGTTCCCGTACGAGGAACACCGGGTTCAATACAATCCCCCAGCGCACAGAGGCAATACCGAGCAGCAGGCCTTGAGCGCAGATATACAGTACCCAGACCCCGACGCCATGATTTGTGCCATGACGCGACCCCCAGGGGTCCGGACCCATTCCCCGGGACCGGTTTTTCATCCCGAGTCGGTTTTGGATTGTCCCGAGGCCCGGTGAGGTCCCCTGGAGGCCGAAAACGGGGAAAAACCTCCCGTCGTGATTTTTTCGTGACTCGAGGGGGTCGGTACACGGAGGCCCTCTGACCGCGGGCCTCAACAGCAGCCCCGTCGGACCAGACGCGGCCCCGAGGGCTTCCATAGGACGCCCCGCAGGTCGGCCAGCGGGCGGCCCAGGAGGGCCCCCCCAGGAAGCGCCCGCGACCGCCTCCTCCTCCTCCTCCTCCTCCTCCTCCTCCTCCTCCTCCTCCTCCTCCTCCTCCTCCTTGGCTGCCACGGCCTATACGCGCCCTGATGCGACACACCCTGTGCGTCTCGATGGTTCTGGGGGTACTTCTTCATTCCAGGGAGGGTGCGAGGGTTACCTGTAGTCCGGGGGGGCGGTGCCAATAATCCGGGGTGGGGTACCTGCAGTCAGGGGGAGGGGTACCTGTAGTCTGGCGGGGGCACCTGTAGTCCAGGGGGGCGCGTGTTCATGCGTCAACGCCAGCGTGGTTCCACGCACCTGTAGCTCTGGAGGGGTACCTGTAGTCCAGGGGGGGGCCTGTAGTCCGGGAGGGGGGACCTGCAGTCTGGGGATGGGTACCTGCAGTCCGGGGGGGCGAGGGACCCAGAACTATTGAGGGGCACAGCGTAGGAAGGAGAAGGCACACACACACAGACACACACACACATTCACACACACACACACACACACACACATATATATATATATATATATATATATATATATGTATTGTGTCGGCGGCCAGGCAGAGGGACTGCGCTGGAGAGTTGAGCAAAACGGGGCGCGTTAGGCGAATTCAGCCACCATGCAGAGGGGGGGAGGAGAGCGAGATAGTCGCCGGAATGAAAAAATCAAGACGGGAGGTTTTTCGCAATTTTCTGCCTCTGGGGGCCCTTGCCGGCCCTCGGAACCGTCAAACAACGATTCTGGACGAGAAACCGGTCCTGGGGAATGGGTCGAGACCTCTGGGGGTCACGGCAGGAAAAAATCATGACGTCGGGGGTCTAGGTCGGCCCTCAAGGGACGGGCCAGAGCGGGAGCCAGGAGCGAGCAGATGCCCTCATGCAGCCAGAGCCAGCGTCGGCCCTCAAGGGACGAGGGTCGATGCAAAGGGGGGTCCGCCAGGACGCCGGAATCTGCAGGATCCTGCAGAGCCAGGGGTGCGTTGGCCCGGGCTGGGGAGCAGGATCCTGCAGGGTGCTGCAGGCTCGAGCTAAACAGTGTTTTTTTCAAGAGGGGAGAAACACAGACACAATTAATCATCGATTCCCAGGAAAATATGGGGAGTGGGGGGGAAGACAGAAACCCAGAGAATATAGAAAAATATTGGGAATCCTGGGATTTGCATCTATTTATTTGTGTGTCCCTGGGCCCCTTGAGTTTGGGTGATTTCGTGGGCCGTGTTCGTTTTGATTTTGAGGGCGGGCGCCAACGCAGTTCGGCCGGCCGGCGCGGCGCGCCGGCCGGCGCGCCGCGCCGGAGCCAGGAGCAAGCAGATGCGGCAAGGGGAGGATTGGGCCTCGCGTATTTGGGGGGGGCGGGCGATACACTGAGGGGCAGCGAGAGCTACAGAAAAGGGCCCGTTTCAGGCCCCAAAAGAGGGCCCAAGAATAGCACCTCTCTTGCCCACAATCATTTACCGCCATCTCCTCAAGCGGCGCCCGAGGAGGAGTGCGGCCGCAGAGGAGGAACAGGGGGGGGGGGGCTCGAGCACAACGTCATGTGAGAGGTCTGCGGGCGGGCGGGGGGGGGGCAGAAGATGGCAGGAGGGAGGGGAACGGGTGGGGGAGGCAGGGAAGGGAGGCGGGGGGAGGAGTGCGGAAGGGGCAGGCGGCCGGGGGGTTAATGAGGGGCGGGCGAGGGCAAGCGGGGGGAAGAGGACATGCCGCTCCCTGCCTCCCCGCCTCCGCGGCTCCCGCCGTCCCCGCTCCCCTCCGCTGCCTACCGAAAGGTGCCCTCGCATCAGCACTTTCTGCTTGGGGAGTCAGGGTGTCACCACCCACCAAACCACCCCAACCCAACCCGAAGGTTCAGATTTACCCTCGATTTCTAGTGGGGGGGGGGTCGGGAAACATTGAAAAAACACGCGTGGAACCCTTACCCCCCCCAACCCGAAATTCGGGTCTTCGGGTTGGGTTGGGGTGGTCTGGTAGGTAGTCAGGGTGCGGTCGGGAATCCTTGCTTAGCGTCAAGTCGGGCATGTCCCTCCACAGGAGGAGTATTCAAACATATTTGAAACAAGTAGTCCGGGGACGGTTTATTGATTACTAATAGTCTTGAATACTTGTTGCGTATTCTTGTTGGACATGTTTAATTTTTCGTCCAAAATCCCCCTGTCATGTAGGGGGACAGGCGCGACCTAAGCTTAGCGTGTCGCGCCGCTGGTTCTGGCCCACCACGCGCCTGCGCGAACCGCTGAGCACGTCCCAGTCCCCAAGCATCAGCTTCGCGAGCTTTTCCCAGCACCCCGCCCAACGAAGCAGGGCGGCACGCTATCAGCTCGCAAGGCAGCTAGCGTGTTGCAGGAGCCGGCGCAGCGACAGGCTAAGCCTAAGTTCCTGACCGTGTGGGGAGGGTGGAGGCGGATGGGATGGGATGGAGGGGAGATGAGCCTCGAAGGCAAAGGGGGGGCGAGGGCACGCGAGGATGGAGCAAGATATTGGATTGGGTTCGAGGCAGGATGCGGGGAGGATGCGCTCCTACTCGGATGGAGCGCTCGCTGGGGAACAGAGGCACCAGGCTTCTGCACGACTGCGCATGAGGTGATTACAGGGCCGCGGGAAGGACTCGGAACCAGGCAGTCATGTGCGCGCAGCACACCGTGCGACTGCGCAATAAGAACAAGAATAAGGCGAGAGGCGGCTTCTTGATCGGGTCTCTGAAGGGCGTTCGGGATGAGCCTGGCACCCCCGGAACGCTCTCAGCGAGGCGCAGCTGCTGGAACCCGTCCACAGGTCGGAAAACAGTCAAAAACCGACGAGACCACGTCGGCGTTTTTCAGTGATTGTTTCGCCGATCGGCGCGGGCCCGCCCCCCCCCTTTCCCCCCACCATCGACCAGATCTTGGCTGTTGTGGGCGGCTGCTTTGAGCGACTGATCAGGACCCCATCCCCCCAATCTGCTTGCGCGACTGGTAGAAGCAGATCGACCAAGCACCGGCCCGTACCCAGACCCCCCCCTCCCACACCCTTCGGGCAGATGCCGAAGCCCAGATTAAGACAACGCGTTACCATCCAAAATCGCTCGAACCTCGAGCGGAGGGGATGCGACCCCGCCCCGCAGCTGCTTGAAAGCTCGAGGTCTCTGCGCTGCTGCGCCTCTCCGGCGGCAGGCCCAGGCCGTCAGCAGTCATCATGTTCGGTCCCGGCGCCGCGCAGCCGCGGCCGCCGCACGAGGTCCTGGAGGAGAGCGCCACGGACGCCGAG